TGTGCTCTCCAACCGCGCCTGCCACATCCTCGCTATCTACTTCCTCTTAAACAAGAAACTGCAGCGCTATTTGTCAGGGGTGAGTGGGGCCCTGGAGGTGGTTCTCTTTATTCTCTGTGGGAAAAAGAGCTCTTCCACCCAAAATGTTTCCCAGTTGCTGATATTTGATCCGAGCTGCTAATTTAACTTAATGTGAGGCTGAGTTCTTTGAGTGTGGGATAAATTAGCAGCAAAACCTGCTTCTCGGGCTGCCCTTCTTATCAGAGATGGTTTTCAAACATTCTCCCACGGAGTTAAGCCCCAGGCAAGATGGTGAGGGGTTCAAGCCTCTTTCCTTCAGCTTCTATGTTGCCTTTCTTGCTCTGCTGCTTCATAGCTCTCTGGGTTTCCCAGTTAGAGGTATTTGGGGCTTCTCTGGTCATAAAACTTGGGAGCAGTGCCTCTTGGGCATCTTAAGTATGGTGTATAAGAAAGACACTACTGCTGGACGTGGTGGCTCACACCTATAATCCCAGCACTTTGGAAGGTGGAGGTGAAAGGATTGTCTGAGTCCAGGGGTTCGAGACCAGCCTGGGCAACTTGGTGAGACCTTGTCTCTACAATACATCAAAATATTAGCTGGGCGTAGTGGCATGCACCTGTGGTTCCAACTACTTGGAAGTCTGAGACAGAAGGATCGCCCAGCAGGTCGAGGCTATGGCGGTCGTGAATGTGCCAGGGCACTCCAGCCTGGACAACAGAGTGATACTCCAGCTCAAAATAAATAAAGTGTGTCATATCGATGGCTCCCGATAAATATTAAAAATAAAATCCAGAGCATGCGCTATTTGAAGTTATGTGATAGCCCAGTACATCAATACATCACAAAATTTCACCAGACAGCAACAGGCCTAGAAACCTCTATTGCGTTGTCTATATTAGAGCAAACAGTGAAGATCCGCTTGCAGTTGGAGACATGATATTCTCCTTGGTGTGGAGAAAGGGCTAGAATAATTCCCAGAAGACCAAATGGTATGTCTCTTGTTAGCAGATAGATTTGGGAGCTGTCTAGAAAACATTGCTGAATCTAGAAAGGAGCTCAATGAGAGTTAAACAGCTGGATGACAGTGCAGATGTTCTAAGCTGATTCAGCTTAGGATATTTGATAGATTTTGTTTCAGCAGGAAATTATCCACAGAACTACTTTGTATGTATATGTGAACAACCAAAGGAAAGTTGTATGTGAGAAGAAATATTCTCAATGATAAAGAGCTTTAAAAAATAAGAACAGGCCATTGCCTTGCTAAGCTATGGTGTGGCCATGTGCTCTTTGAGCTGTGGCCAGGCTGTGTCTTCTTAAGCTGTGGGCCCCTCCTCTACCTTGGGGAGGCGAATCTCCTCTTTCTCTAATTTAGTTTCTAAATAAACTATATTTTCTAATGCTTTATGGGGGGTGTGCTCTCTGTAAGCAGGAATGGACTGGCTCTTCTGACGGGGACAGATTCATAGCCTTGAGGCTAGATTGCAGAGGTGCATTGCTAACAGAAAAGCTATTGCAGGAGAGATGTCAAATCCGGAAAGACAGGACTTTGAACACATAGTATATTATTTATATGATTGTATTATGTGATAAGGAGAAAAAAATTCTCTTGTATCACACAGAAGTTCTCTGCTTTCTCATTACGAGGAACTTCAATGACATATTGGACTTGAAGCAGTTTCTCAGTTCTATCTTATAAGACCATGTGTCCAGGTTTCTTTCTTTTTTTAATTTATTTTTTATTTTTTGAGTTGGAGTCTCACTTTGATGCCCAGACTGGAGTGTAGTGACATGATCGTGGCTCACCACAGCCTCGACCTCCCGGCCTCAGGCGATCCTTCCACCTCAGCCTCCAGAATACCTGCCTGGCTAATTTCTTGATTTTTTTTTGAAAGAGATGAGGTCTCTCTATGTTGCCTAGGCTGGTCTTGAACTCCTGGGCTCAAGTGATTCTCCTGCCTTGGCCTCCTTAAATGCTTGGGATTACAGGCATGAGCCATTGTACCCAGCCTCAAGGTTTTTTTATATCCTTTTAAATGCCTATTCTATTGTCTATTTTATAATATATGTGTCATATTAATACAGTGGTACATGCTTATAATTTATTTGCATATTTACTTATTTGCATATTTATAAGCATATATTGTTGGTGCCTGCCTACAGCTCTTTCACTCATAAGGGCTCATAACATTTAGAGACCACCACGCAATGGAGGGTAAAAGTTAAAAATTTAAATGATTCTCAAGTAAAAAGAACAGAAGAGGGTTAATATATTGATTTCTTTTTCAAGTGCTGACTGCTGTTCAGAAATTATTGTTAAAATGTGTTTTCGACCGGGCTCGGTGGCTCAGCCTGTAATCCCAGAGCTTTGGGAGGCTGAGGTGAGCGGACTGCCTGAGCCCGCGGGTTCGAGACCGGGCTGGGCAACTTGGCAAGACCTCATCTCTACAATAAATCAAAAAACTAGCCAGGCGTGGTAGCGCGCGCCTGTAGT